GGGGGAATATGTAGGAGAATAGATGGGGTAATAGGGGTTATGGCATTTTATGCATTAGGTGAGTATATGGACCCACTATAATTTTAATGGACAACTAAGGCTTTGGCACTGTTTATTTAGAATCAAGAAAACAGAAAATCTTGTCCCCTCTTTTCCACAGTTCCTTTTTGTAGTGTTTGATTTGATGCTTTCCTTCTAAAGATATGTAATATCTTGTGTTTTTATCACATACTTTCATCTTTTCTACGTGCAATAATAATACTAATAATTTTTACAAACTATGTTATCAACTTCAGACTCTAATTTTAACTTTTAATCTTACAACTGTTTCAATCCTTAAAGCAAAGGAAAACATAATATAACAGCTTCCCCGAAAAAGCAGATCGTGTCATTATATTGATATTAATTCGGATTTAGTCGTGCTCTAATGTAAGTATCGGATACCGAATAAAAAATAATATATGGAGTCGTCAAGGAGCACTTTACTACCCAATTTAAAATTTTCAATCGACCCCAACTGCAGACACCGAACATTGCGTGAAAAATCCAAAAAAAAGTTTCGGCTCTATAGATGCATAAAAATAGTGAAGATTTTAAAATTTTAAGGATAGTTCGGTGCACAAAACTTCAGTTCGGAAGATAGAAAGGTCAGCCATTATATTAGAGGGTTTATATAGATTGCTTGTGGAATATAATTATCTCTTTCTATGATCCAAGTAGTTACTCTATGCAGTAAGACTGCAAACTACCTTAAATTTAACAATGGAGAGAAAATGGGGAATATGTACTTCTTTTCCCGATTAGCTAATTCTCCATTTTAATCAATCATTTAGATTTTGTAAGATTAGATTAGATTATGGTACCCACTTTTTAAACAACTTTAGCCCTCTTTCTCCTTCTCAAAGTTATATCCGCCCATTAGTGGCGGAGGCAGGATCTCCACGAAGGGGGTTCAAAATTTTTTTTGTAGCTAGTGGGAATTGAACCCATGACCTTATGTAGGTTTTGAACCCCCTTGACCACTAAACTACACTTTTGGATTGTGTTAAGGGTGTTCAAAACTTAATATATAGAGGTAAAAAATAGATTTTGCCTTATACGGTGTAATTTTTCGGCAAAGGGTGTTCGGGTGAACACCCTTGCGCCCCCCTAAATCCGCCCCTGCCGCCCATAGTTCCATTAGAAGAATTTCAAAGCTTCCTTACCAAATATTTTTTGATAATGCTGTCAAGCTGTTTTATAATTCCAAAACACTTGAGAAAAACAAGGTATTCAAGACCCACAATAAGTCAATAGGACTGAAAAAGGTTAAACATGAACAAATAAATGAGAAGAAATTAAATGGGCAACCAGTGGCAGTGGAAAAGTATCCATCAGAGAAACTTCCTAGCTTCTAGGTATAAAGGATATTGTCTTTGAATATCAAGTTAACACCATTTGAAGGAGCTGAAGTTCGCCGGTTACAAACAAAAACTTCAGCTCTAGAGCTGAAGTTCGCCAGTTACAAAAACAAAAACTTCAGCTCTAGAGCTGAAGTTTGCCAGTTACAAAAACAAAAAATTCAGCAATTACAAACAAAAACTTCAGCAAATAGAGAACAAAACTTCAGCTACTATGCTTAAGTTCAGTAATTACAAACAAAAACTTCAGCGCACTTGCTACTTCAGTCCCGTCTACTAGAATCCTGAAGTTTTGCGTGATTGCCTTTGCTACTTCAGCCCCGTATGCTGAAGTTACGCGAAAAAGTGGGTACGCTTGCAAATTTTTTTGCAAAGCGGGAGCACAAGTTAAAACGTGACCCAAAAAACGGATATAGATACAAATGTTATCCTTTTTTTTTTACTTCTAGGGAATCAAATTAAGGGGTTCTTTGAGTACAAGTTCAACTGTTGTACTAGTATTTTTGTATACCATTGATTACACAACCTCTCAAAAAATACCTTTCAATAGTTCCAAAAATAAATTTAAGAGTATATATAATGGTCAAACTATCTAATTTGACTTTGACACTATACCCATGGCTGTTGATTGTTTTTAGAATAAATTTTTTAAAACCATATTAGAAACAATTGACGTTGTCTTATTTAATGTACCATATTTGAAATGATATGGAATTAAAGCAATAATTTGATTTGTATAATGTTCATTGGTAGAAAACATTATTAAAATAGCAGTTGAAAGTATTATATTTTGAATAATTTAATAAATATGATATTTTAAAATTACATAAATTATATTTATAAGATACTATTATCAACAAAGGCACATATAATATTGATATTACAGCAAAATGCAATAAATATATTATACTTGACAACTTTGACACTTTGTCCCAGCTTCACTCTATGCTATATTAACTAGTTTCTTTGGAGAGAAAATGTATCCATATATGAAGCTACATGATCATTAGATTGTCCTAGCACGTTGCCTTTGTTGCCAAACTTAGTAAATGTGATTTCCATAAACATGGGCGGAGTTAGAATTTTGAATTTATGAATTTTGCATTGTAGAAAAGATAGTTTATTGGATTCTAGATAGATTATTTATACATATTAAGTGCATTTTTAAATACAAATATAATATTTGGATCAAAGCTAATGAGTTCCGTCAAATTTGTAAAAAGAACGGTACCTCTATTCTTAATAAAAGTAGAAATGAGTACTATAACAAAATATTATAAAAAGTTTTGGTGACTACAAAAAGAAAAACAAGTTTTGAACTCTAAACCTATGAATATTTATGTAAAATATACATGTCTAATCATTAAATACCAGACTTTGATGGTGCGCAGTAGTAGATAGATTTGTTTCTTAAATTGAGAAGAAGAAAACAGTGGGCAGAGCTAGAATATATATAGGGTTATGGGAGAAAAGTCAGAGGCTTAAGGCAACCAAAAGATGAACGTACTGATTTTGATGCAATTGAAGAAAAGGACAGAGATTTTGTTTACTTGCTGTTTTCTGCAGACTTTCACACTGTAGACTGCTAGACTCTCCTTCAATTTAGGAATTGTTTTTTTTTTTTAATTTTTATTATTTTACTATTACGATTTCGTTGGACTTGGAAGCCAAATCTTATTTGTTTTCTTGCTATTACGTACATATATTTATTGGGTTTCCGTGTGGGATATAGTTTACCTTTTCTTTTTGTAAATCTCGTTTTGAGATGGGTTGGCTATATAACTGTCTCAAAATTACAAATATTTTTATTTATTTATTCGGTATTTCAAGTTTATTGACCGATTATTCTTGATAGATAGGCTCGTTAAGAGTAAAAATAGCACGGTCTAGCCAATTTTCGGATTGGTCATTCAAAAATAACCAACGTTTACCAAGTCAATGAAAAATAGCCACTATTTTGCTGCAACAGAGACCGGTCCAGCATAATATACTGGAGTTCCGTACACCTATGTATGAACTTCCACCATATTATGCTGGAACTCCAACACACCGAAAGTTCCGGCATAATATACTGGAGATTCGAGCACTTGTGTATGAACTTCCAGCATATTATACTGGATCGATATACTTTGCTGGAACTCGAGTATATTATGTCGGATTCTAGTGTACTTATGCTGGAACTCCATCATATTATGCTGGAGTTCCAGCATACTTATCTTGGAACTCTAGTATAATATGCTGGAGTCCAAGTATACTTATGCTGGAACTCCAGCATAATATACTGGCGTATTTTTCGGGTTTTGAACAGTGTGTTTGCTCAGATTTATCTTTACATGAAAAAGTGGCTAAATTTCGATTACTTTTGAAACTGGGCTATTTTTGAACGACCACTTGTAAATCTGGCTATTTTTTAATTCCTCCCTCATTAAGAGTAAGGGTGGCTTGTGAGCGGGTTAGGACCCAAATGGGCGGTGGGCCTAAACGGTCCTAACCGGATAGGACCCGGACTGTGGAGAGGTAGGCTGGGTAGTGGACCGGTCTTGTGCATGAGGGATCGTATGGGACCGCGACCGGCAGGGAAGTGGGCCGGTTCAACCGGTCCTAAACAGGGCTAAACGGGCCCAACAACTCCAAATTAAAAAAAAAAAAATTTGCCCGTTAGGGCATTTAAAAAGTAGTCGTTTGGGCTGCCAAAATAGTCGTTGGCTATTTACAAAATAGCCATTTAACCCCCTCCCCCTCCCCCCCTCCCCAACTTTGTTTTAACCCCAAACATTTTGTAATTACACTTTTTCCCTATTTTCAACAATAAATACTCCCTCGCTCTTTAATTTTTATCACCAAATCATCCAGCTCTCTCAATCTCTCTCTAATTTTCTTCTATAATTGATTACTTTATTATTGCAATTTAGTAAAAATAAGAGAAAATTCAAGAGTGATTGCAATAATAGTCCTTTTTTGGGCAATGTTTTTTAAAAAATAATACTTTTAGTAATTACTAATTTAGCCCTTTGAAAAACTATAAATATCCCCCCCCCCCCCCCTCTTCTTCACATCTTCACTCATCTCTCATTTCTCGAACTCAAATTCTCAATTCAAGTTAAATCATGTCTCGTACTTCTAGAGTACGCTCATATGTTTGGAAACACTTTGAGGTGGTAGAAGAAAATGAAGAA